GGAACCTGGCGAGGGACGCGGCGAACAAGAAGGCCATAGCCGCGGTGCCGGGGAGCCTGCAGAAACTTACTGTGCTGAATGACAGCACAAATGGTGCCGTGCAGGCGCATGCGAACAGGGTACTGGAGCACCTTGGCGTGACATAGACTTAACGATGTTCCAGTAGAACAAGTTGGCGTGAAGGTTTAGAGGTTAATGGTCAGCATGAGTACACACCCGTTTGAAGGAGCTTAGCGGGTTCTCTTTTCAAAACAAGAGGAAGTACGTACGTACAGAGTTTCCACCCCAACAGAAGCCGAAAATTCTGTACTACGTCTACTGTTATAAATAACTCACACATTTTGCATGCATGGAACGCAAATGTTCAAGATGAAACTGTGGAGAGTGGTCCACTCTCTGAGGTTTTCAAAATAAAGGGAAGACTTCACGTACATACATTTTCTTCAGCCGGCCGGAAGTCCGAAACTTTGTACTACCGCTACTGTTATAACTTTCTCACACGGTTTGTGTAACGAAAGTTATAACAGTAGGCATAGTAGGCTTTCTTTCATTCCAAAGAAAGTAGCGAGTATGTATGTAGCTACTTTTGTGTAAGTAAGTTATAACAATAGGCCTAGTAGGATTTCTTTCATTCCAAACAGGGTAGCGAATATGTATATACCGACGTAAAAGCTTAAGGACAAGGTCGAATAGTACGCAACAAGCAAAGAATATGGCAAGTGCTTCAGTACCGGATCGCGAAGTCACCATCGAGCACTTGTCTTGTGTGTTTAAATCAACTTGCTGAAAAACTTTAAACTCGGTTTATAGGGCATGCACTGCCGATCGTCGGCTGGAGGCCTTCCAAAATCCTTGGAGCGATTGACGAGCATCTGGGACCAAGAGACATTGAGGTAATTGATGTGCAAGTACGCATAGTTGATAATTGAGACGTGGGCCTAAGACGATGGCACAGGAATGTTACATCAGTTGTTCAAGCAAGGACGAATTGTGCACCATTCGGCCCATGTGAACGCAGCAAACAAACTTTGAATGAATGGATCGTTACATGCAAGCTGCGACACTTTGATGAAAATGGTAACGATCGATCTTGCATATTCTATCTTCTCAACTCAGGTGGTTGTGTTTGTATAAGAGTACGTGAGCCAAATGCACTCTTGTTCTCCTTCCAAGCTATCTGAAACCACCTCTTACATGTACCGGGTGTATAATCATACCCTCGGAGCAAGGTGCCCGCATTTGCGTTCGCGTTTGCGGTTTCATTTCTTCCTTGATTTTGACCATCATTGCTGCCATGTCCATGAAAAGACGCAATACGATGGTCAGTTGCATGGATGGATATCTATGAATGACAGAGTGTGATTCTGACAGTGTGCATATATTGCAAAGAGTAGGTCATCAAAGTGGGGCTAACTGTCGGTTTCGTTGTTGGACACGAGGGGTGTCGATATTTGGGCGCGCGGCCGAGTTCCGCGGAGTATGTGGCTTGCATGAGCGCGTGCGCGCGCAGCCATGAAAGAGAGGCGCAAAACGCGGACCTACACCACGGACGGGTCCGACAGTCCCCTCACTCACAACTGATCAAGGAGACGGAGTTCAGCTGCCCTTGGATGGCAGCAGACGCGACGGTGCGCAGGAATGTCTCTTTGTCCGTAAAAAAAAGAAAAGAAAGAAAACAGGTTAAACCATACTGCAACCTGGTCTTTCAACCTTAAACCCAAGGTCCAACAAGATGTTCAACTCGCAAGAGCAACATTTACAACACATAGGAAAGCTAGGACCAACAAAACGAATTTGAATAGCAACTGGCACCCCCCACTCTTATTTCTCGAAACTGGCTCGATCGTCCAGCCCTCCTGCAAGTTGGCATTTTCCAGAAGAAGTGTGTCCAACAACATGTCTTTCCGTAACCACATACCACCTAGTGTCTGTTCCGTGAACCTATCCACAAAGTCGCCCTTGTAAATTGAGTTCACCCCCCCAGCTTGCTGAAGCACTAGGGAGTGCCCAGGGTCGAGAAAGCAGAGCCCATCAACATTAGTGTAAGTACACGCCATGGCAAGTGAGCCCGGGTGCCGTTGCAAGAAAGCCTCTCTGTATCGACGCGCCTGCTCTTTGACCTTCACAAGCTGTGCATGACGGCTCGCGCGCTGGTTGCGACCCGGACGCTCGGTGGCGTGCTTCACTTCAATGACCATGAACATCCCAAACCCGTTGGTCAGAACCAGGTCTCCGACACCCAAGTCGCTCCGGCCCTTACAGACCTCCCAGTTCATATCGAAGATGTATGGGCAACACGAGAGACCGTCTCCCCAGAGCTTGGACTCGGAATCCCTCAAGGCCTGGAGCAGCTGACGCGTCAACCCCTGCTCTTCAACCGCACCCGAAGGGGATATCAGCACGTGGGTCGCCAGGTCGCGAACCCAGCCCTCGTGCACGCCCCGAGCAAAACCGAGTTCCTCTGGATCCGACCACCTCTTGAGAAGGCGGATGGTGGCTAGAGCATTAGCCCTCGCAGCTTCAAGCTCACACGGAACAGCAAACTGGTAGACGGGAGGGTAAATTTCCACTGTCTCTCCTCCGCACCCAGTGACCAGTTGAAACGCCCACACCGTTACCGAGAATTCGCCCCCCCCTGCAATACCAGTACTCATCGTTCATGCCCCATACTCTGGACGGTTCATACGGACCTCGGAGACTCCATCTCCGCTCAGAATTCAGTATTCTTTGGAGGTGACTGATGCAAAGGTAGCGAACCAGAGCGCCTCTTTTTGGATGCCAACGAAGGCTCTCTAGGGTTCCATCCCAGCTGACGCACGTAGTACAGAAGCACCCCATGACAGTTCTAGCCACCTTCCACAAGCGAGTGTAACAGACTTCAGGCGCTTAGCCTACAAAACGTGACCAGTAGGGATGCACAGCACAACAAAGCACAGCACACATGGCAGCACAGCTCAGTAAGGGTCTCAAGCACTGGGCAAAGAGGGCTGATTTTAGTTAACTAAAACTTTCCAAAGAGCAGGAACGACTGCAAACATGATTTGCTAGTTACCAAAACGTGTCATTTTTTTGACCCAACTTTGGGTTGCTGAGCTGTCGATGACGTAGCACATGCCCAAAACAGGCGGTCAACCTTTGTCCGTTTAAAAGGCGGAGAGCCACAGCTGAGGATCTGTGCCATCGGGCATTGATCACCGCTGCGGCGCCTACACACCCTTGGATTTTTCCATGAAAGACAGGCACCGTGTCTTTCAGGGCTTTCTTTGAACTAGAAGCAACGGAAGTCTTAAGTCCGAAGTCTGAAGTCCGCCGTCCGTGAAGGCTTGCTGCGCGGCCCGCGAGCCGCCGGTCCTTTCCGATGAAGTTCTCCACGCGCGGGCGGCGGCCGCGCAGATCCGAAGGTATCTGAGGCGTGCACTGGCTTGAATGGCCCAGAATTCACAAGATCTGATTATTGATGACGTGGCATTGACTTGAGGCTGCCACGTACTGTCTAAGCACGTGCGCCTGGTTAGCCGGAAGCACGTGCGTTCAAGATCAGATACTCTGAGTGCCCGGGGGAGACTTTGGTAAACTGGAGTAATACTGTAAGACCCGGTCGGGTAAGGCAGTGCCCTTCCCGGAATGTTCGGGCACGAGGGGTGTCGATACCCTGGGGACCGCTGAGACTTAGGGACTTGGGGCAGTCCACGTACCCGAGGTCCCTAAGCTTCGACGCCGACCACATATACTTAGGGATAGGGGCGCGCCGTCGGTCCCAAGTCCCTAAGTAGTGACCGGTTGGCCCTGTGAGCGACCGGATGAACCCCAGACTTAAGGACAAGATTCGATTTCGAAAGTTTTGTCCCTAAGTCCAGGTGACCCCCCTTAAGTAGGCCCGTCGGCCGCAATGGCAGTAGTTCTCGACCCAATCGTCCTCCTGCCGTAGGAACTAACGCGCGGCCGCCGGCTCGCGGTACTCGTGGATCAATGTCACCGAGCGCGGCCAGCGTAACTGGTTGGCGTCCTCCAGGATGGCCACCTGGCCTTCCTCATCCCGGAATCCGACGAAGGTGTAAGGCCCCTCCCAGCCCAGGTCCAGTGGACCCTGTCGTCGCGACTTCTTCATGATGACCTTGCAGCCTGGT